TTTAAGAACAGGCGAAAGGAGGAGATTGACAGCCTGATTGAAAAGAGGAAGCAGTTGAGGAGGAAGAAAAGGAAGGCAAGGAGTGAGATAGAGAAGGATGGTTATGAGGCATTATTGAGAGTGTTGGCTGGTCGTTTGATGAAGTTGAGGAGGGCTGAGAAAAGGAGACAGAAGCAGAGAGAGATAAGGAGAGTTAGAGGGGATTTTGGACGCGACCCTTTCAAGACAATCAAGGGAGTGCTAAATCCAAGTCCAGTGGGGGAGCTTAAGTGTTCAAAGGAGGAGCTAGATGATCACTTGGCCAGAACGTACGGAGATCCAGCCCGGCAGCAGCCCCTTGGTATACTTGAGGGTCTGCCTGAGTGTGCTCCTGAACCCTCTGTTGCCTTTGACCTCACAACGGTATCCAAGAAGGAGTTTGAGGAGGTTGTAAAGAAGGCAAGGAGCAAGAGTGCCCCGGGTAACAACGGGATCCCGTACACAGTGTACAAGAGATGTCCTGGTATTGCCAAGAATCTCTGGGACCTGTTAAGAACTGGATATAAGTTAGAAGAATATCCTGACAATTGTAGGTATTTCGAGGGTGTCTACATCCCAAAGGCGGATGGCGACTTTTCACCAAGTTCAGGACGGCCTATTTCCCTGGGTAACATTCAAGGGAAGATTTATTTGGCGATCCTGGCGAAGAGGTTGACCAGCTTTGTTGTCTCGAATGGATATGTAGACCTCTCTATACAGAAGGGTGGTGTGCCAGGCGTCCGTGGGTGCACGGAGCATTTTGGTGCCATGTGGGAGGTACTGAAGGAAGCAAAGGTCAAGAAGAAGGATCTGAGTGTGGTATGGCTTGACCTGGCTAACGCTTACGGAGCGGTACCCCATGTTCTGATTGCCAGGGCCCTCCGTTTCTACAACGTCCCCGAGAAGGTTATCAATATTATCCTACGGTACTTCTCCGGGGTATTCGGAAGGTTCTCCTCAAGAACGGTGACATCAGACTGGCAGCAGTTTGAGATAGGAATCTTCATGGGGTGTGTGATATCAGTCATCTTGTTTGTCTTGTGCATGAACCTTGGGCATGAACACCTAAAGTCTAAGGTTCCGAGAAGCATTGAGTACATCAAGGATGACACACCGATACCAACTCTGAAGCTGTTTATGGACGATAGCTGTCTGACGACCGCACGTGCAGAGGATATGCAAACGTTACTCAATGTGTTTCAGAAGTACGTGGACTGGTCCAGATTTAAGTTAAAGTCCTCCAAGTCCAGAGCACTGGTGTTGAAGAAGGGAGTGGCTGTGAGGTGGGTTGAGGAGGTAGTGGTAGGAGAGGAGGAGGTGGAGAGAGAAGAGGTGTGTTTGCAGTTGGGTGGTGAGGTGATTCCGAATGTGTCAGAGAAGCCGATAAAATTCCTTGGGAGATGGATAAGAGTGGAAGGAAATGACAAATCAGTCATCGACTCAACCAAGGTCGACCTTAACACTTTTCTTCGGAGACTCGATGAAAGTTCCCTTACTGGACTTCAGAAGTGCTGGGGATATCAGTACATGGTCCTTCCAAAACTGAAGTGGCCTCTTGCCATCTATGATATTCCGATCACAACAGTTACCAGATGGGAACAGAATACCAATAGTTTCCTCAGGAAGTGGTTAGGGGTGGGGCACACTCTGAGTGGTCTTTGTCTGTTCAGTCAATCATCCAGTGTGGCCTTACCGGTGAGCAGTTTGACAGATACATGGAAGATAGAGAAGTGTCGACTGTTGCAATCCTATCAGACATCTAAGGATGACCTGATTAAAGCAGTCCAGCCCCAAGTTCGTTCTGGTAGAGTTTGGAGGCCTGAGACAGAACTGGAAGAGGCCAGAAGAGATTTGGTCTGTGAATCGGTGCGAGGGATGGTGCAACCTCAAAAAAGAGTTGGCATCGGTTTTGGTGACTGGAAAAAACCTTGGGAGAGGATGGATGAACGGGAAAGAGAGAGGGAGGTTATGCTGAGAGTGAAGGAGAACATTGAAAGAGAGAGGGAGGTGCAAGTAGGTTCTCTGGAGATGCAGAGCAGGTGGGGTGAGTGGAGAGAGCTCGTAATGAAGACGGATTTGAGCTGGCATACACTTTTTAAGTATGGTGACTCACTTATTGGGTTCATGCTAAGTGCTGTGTACGGCACCCTCTTAACCCCCTCTATGGTTTCCAAGTGGAGTGAAGATGAGGATGGGAAGTGCAAGTTATGTGAGGAGAGGATGGGCACCATTCAGCACATTTTGGCTGGGTGTAAGGTGGCCCTTAGTCAAGGAAGGTATAGATGGCGGCACGACAAGGTTCTGAAGCAGATCTCTGAACAGGTTGTCTTCCATTGTGATCGCCGAGTGAACACTTATAAGAACAAGGCCGGCGATGGAAGGCAGTTCATTGATTTTGTTCCTGCTGGGAAAAGAAAAGCAGGTACAGACGACCGGAAGGAGAGTCGTGGTTTTGGGATCCTGAGTGGGTATCGGGATTGGATAGTGCTGTCAGACCTTGAGGGGCAGCTTAAGTTTCCCAGTGAGATTGTGGAAACACGGCTGAGGCCGGACCTTGTGATATTCTCAAGGTCGGCAAAGACAGTTATTTGGTGGGAGCTAACAGTACCATCTGAAGAGCGGATCGCTGAATCGCACGAGTACAAGCTCGACCGATACAGCGGTCTGCAGGCTGAGATTCAGGCGAAAGGTTGGTGCTGTTATAATGCCGCAGTCGAAGTTGGAGCTAGGGGAGTGGTTGCGCAGAGTTTGGAGAGAGCTGCGAGGAGGATTGGTTTTAGGGGAAGAGAGCTGAAGAAGCTGGTACGGGACAGTGGGAAAGAGGCAGCCCACTGTTCCAGATGGATCTACTTGTTATCGAGAAAGAGGGAGTGGGAGTTCAGGAAGGTTGGAGCTTGAGAGTTCACTATAACATCTAGAGGTACCATAAACGTTATCTCGTCGCCAATTGCGAGCTCTAACGGGTCTCCTCAAGTGACTCTCGGATCAGATGGTGGTTCAAGGGTGGACTGCTGGGGCGCCTGACAGGAAACCGTATTGCGATTAAAGCCCCGAAACGGTGTCAGGTTGGTAACTGATGATTCTGATCCATGCTCCTGTGAGTTTGCTGTTGTATCTCAACTCGCTAAACTGAGGCATCTCCGCATCTTGGGTGAATATGCGTACATCTTCATACTAAACCCAGGTGTGGCATGTGTCAGTGAATACGGGCGAGCGGATGCAATAGCGAAGGTGGTGTGACAAGGCCTAAAAGACACAGTCAGATAGTTGTCAGCTCGCTGACTGTAAGGGAGAAGGTATATCCGTATTTCGCTGCTACTGATGCAGTCCTTGATCTGGCAATCAAGGCTTCTCTGTTTTTCGTCTAACTATGTACCGTTGGGCTTGTGGAACCCGTCAGGGGGACATACATAGGTTAGAATGGTTTTGTGCACCAAGAGGAGTGAGGGAATGAGGGTTGAAGAGAGAGAGCTAGAGAGTTGTTAGGGTGGTTAGGATCAGTAGGTGGAGTGTTTGGTTGGAGCGTTCTGTTTTTGCTGTATAGCATTTTAGTCACTCCGCAGTTTATTAACTGTGTCTCAACTCTGTATTGCGTAAAATTTCACAGACGAAATGATTGCAGGGCACATGGAAGATTCACAATTCACCGTTTCGGCAAGTAGTTGATTCACTTTGTACTAGCATGAGCCTTGTCATACGTTGTATGACCCGCCGCCCACGAAGTGCGCGGCTCCCCCTGTATCGTCAGGACGACCATAGTGAAACGACCGTGAGGGTCGCAACGTGATACAACATGAGCCCCTTCGGTCATTTTCATTTGTTTTTATCATTTGCATCAGTAATATCTATGATGTATGGAAGCGCATGTGTGTCAAAAAGTAGTAACACACATGCGCTTCCTAAATAGGAAGCGCATGTTATGTGTGTTATATTACTACTTTTTGACTTCACATAGCCATGTGTCTACGCTTACTGCGTGACGCGCTTGTTTCACAAGCGAGAGGGCTCTGGTTAGAGCATTTTTTGATTAACGGGTGATACTGGTAGGTTTACAACCTACCAGGACGCGCGCCGAGTTGTACTCGTCGATATATTGGACCGTCGACGAGTCCAACTCGGCGCGCGTCCTGGTAGGTTGTAAACCTACAACTTTTTGACACACATGCGCTTCCTAAATTATGAACATAATAGCCCGGAGTCCCTAGGTAACTGCTCACTCGCGCGCGGCAGGTCTTCAACGTGTGACGAAAAACTCCTTGCGACCAATTTTGAACCATTCTGAGCACTGTAGCGCGATGCGTTACTGGGCCGCGCCCTAGCAGTTATGCTTCTCGCAAGATCGGCGAGATGCGCTACTGGGCCTTATATTATATTTGATATTACCTGGGGACCTCCGGCTATCATGTTCATAAACTTAGAGAATAGGCGGAATGACAGGCTGAGCCATGAGCGCGGCCCAGTAAGATGCGATGAATTGACATCGTCAATTAATTCTGAGCACTTTTCGTTCATTCATGAACCTGGGTAATGTTATCCCATATGCTACTTTTGATGGCCCCTAGACCTAGCTTGCAACTACATCCATCATTTACAATTATTTTAATAGCACCATTCATTTTCAGAGCTTATTAGGGAAAATAAATGCTTAATGCATGTCCCACTTTTGTCCCCATAGTCCAAAAATCCCGAATCATCATCTCGACATTTTGGTCAAGGAAACGTCAGGAAAGCTCCTATTCATAGGTATTCCAAAAGGGTTCTGATGCTTCTAAATTTTCCGTTAATAATTACAATACCAAAGCTTTCTTTACCTGGGGAGCCCAGGCTGATTGTTCACAAACACATTTGATTGAACTTGAAGCTGAACGCCGCCCAGTAAAACTTCCTTAGTTCCTTTGGTAATCTAACTTTCGGTTCTTCAATCGTGTCTTGTGCCATCCACAGCGATCTCATTAATTGGTCATACAAGAAAAATTCGGTCAAAACGGTGAGAATTAGGGAACCCATGTCGCTTATATTTGAAAATGGGACAGAAATATCACAGTTTGGAGATTGTCCATAATTAAAGCTTTCTCCGGAAATCTGACTCCCATTACCCAGATTGTGCCTTCTGGTTCATAGCTATATAAGTATATCATTTGACATAAATTCAGCCAAAACCAACTTCCAGTATACCTTTCAGTAGGCAAAATACTAAGACTCTGCATTTAAAAACATTAATTTTTGTAAGGCAACATTAATCATACTAATACACATAGTATTGTACCACATTGTCAATACAGTTAATACAAATATCTGTTTGAAAATTAAAATAAGAGGACTGCGTCCTGCTGCAGTTCGTTACAGTTCGTTAAGACCAAGGTAATAAAATAAAACTAGTAGCCCAGCACTGCGTGTCTCTTTTAGGTTCTGGCGAGGGAGGTAGCTGCACTGGCTCCCTGAAATGTGTTGTAGATTAAATGTTGTTATGTGTTTTACCTGAGCGAGGTACTTACGCCTTAGAAATTCATCGAGAATCAACATTCGACGTTAGCATGATTAAGATATACTATATATCAATAATAAGTAGCAGAATACTTAGAAGAGAACATTACACTAAATGAAAGGACATATACTTACAGAAGTGCCCCTTAGAAGAGCTGTGTGTTGCGAAACCAAAGTATTATGTTGTTGTTGATGCTGCTGTTGCTGTTGGTACAACTGTGTGTACTGTTGGTAATACTGGTTTCTTTGTTCGTTCGTTGGCGCCTGTTGGGCTTGTGAATAGGCAGCAGCAGCCTGAAGAGTTAGATTTAACTTTTTAGCTCACAATATCAGAGGAGCATTAAAATATGGATAAAAATAAGGAAGGTTGAACATTACACTGACGAAATCAATACTCAATATTGTGTGCGAGCTGAAGGACTTCTTATTATCATCCTTCCTCTACAAGTAGAAATGTAAATAATCAGCAGAAATAAGACGGAACAAAATATTCCCGATGTTGAACCATTTCATCATGAATGTTACCTGTTGACCAAGAAGTTGAACTTGTGAAGCAGCCTGCTGAATCTGTCCCTGTAACTGGAGCAACTGAGCGGTGTTATCAGGTACAGGGGAGGGGGCAGGTTGCTGGGGCTGGATTGGCAAGTGGGTTTGGTGGAGCACCGCAGCAGCGCCAGGGTTTTGCACACTCATAGCCGGCTGAAACAATAGTTTCAAATTTAGCGCGCGTTGTGTCAGAATAGCTTAGGTGCGCGCGAAAATGGCTGTACTTTCTTTGAGAAGATAATATAGAAACTGCTAGTACCAGAAGATATTCCCGCGGATTATGAGACGGAAAACTTTAGTGGGTCAGTTGGGACAACGATCAGCAAGAAGAGGCCAAATTTGACGTGCTACAGAGCGTTATTGATGCAGTCATTCCACTAAATTTTCTGATGTATCAACCACTTTAAGGTCAAACTGTACCTTAAAGTACTGTTACTAAATGATTGGGAGTCAATCCCTTCCGAACCCAAATATCTTATATTTTTGAGTGACTTGTCATCGTAGCTACTACCCTTTAATTTGTTAAGGTCGTAATTGATGATCTTAGGAAGACTTGCAACAATCAGCTTATTATAACGTATATCGCACAATTACCCTTGCAAAATGTACTCGATGGTTTTGCTTTCAAAGTAAGAAAACAAAGAGATTTGTGAATTCCTAGCTGGGGTCACGTAATATATAGGGATTTAACTTACTCTGGCTTGAGGTGGCTGAAGAGGGGCCGGTTGCGGAGCTGGAATTGGGGATTGGTACACCTGTGAGGTCTAAATCAGGTTTATTTTCAACATCAAATAAAATTACTCGCATTTTAGAAATACATTACTATTTTGTCTCTCTAGATTAGATAAAGACCAGTAGATATACTAATAATTAGTACCGGTGTAGGGGTAGGCTGCTGCATAGGTTGCGGTGTAGGATGAGGCTGAGGTGAGGGTACTACATGAGGGGCTGAAACCGACGGCATGACAGGGGGGTGGTAGGTAGCTGCCGCCATCTGTTGTGGCATAGAAACTGCAGGAGGGGCAGCTGCAGGGTAACCAGGCGGGAACACAGCAGAGGCTGCTGGAGGGTATTGTGCTGGCATTATTGGTGGCATCGCTGGCATCATCGGGGGCATCACGTGCATTCCTGAAAACAAAAACTTTTAACTAAAACTTGCGTTGAATTTCTTTAAAATTAAATCTGTAAAAACGAGCTCCAATTGGTAAGATGAGCATAATTTGAGAGAGACTGGAATGTAAGTAGTCTGCAGCACACTCTAACAAAGCTAACCTGGCATAGGAGGCATGCCTGGCATCATAGGAGGAGGATGTCCCGGTGCTGGTGGCATGGAAGGAGGACCGTGTCCAGGTTGTCCGGGAGGTCCTGGTGGTTGCTGGAAGCCTGGGGCTGTGTAACGAGGTGGAGCTTGTCCGGGTGGCCCTTGATCTCTGTTCCTAGGACAGTCCTTAGCCACGTGACCTCTCTGGTTGCAGTTGTAGCAGGTTCGGGTATCTTGACCAGGAGCTGGCAGGTGTAACATTTAAATAAGAAACTATATGGGCCATCCCTCAATTTCCCGTCCTATCAGTGATGTGCACTCGTTTTAACTTTTAAATCACTTTGACACGAGTTAAATAAACTGTATTTGTGTAAAAGGAAGAGACCGATAATACTCACGAGGACCCTGGTGGGGGAACTGGCCCCCATGGGGAGGTCCGCCCCTCTGTCTCGGACAGTCTCTAGCCATGTGACCTGTCTCGTTACAGTTGAAACATTTCCTGGTATCACCACCAGGTCGGTGCCCTCCTCGTCCCCCAGCTCTATCGTAAGGTTTCTGGTAGTGGGGTTTGTTGGGGTGAGGTGGGGGTGGCACCCCCTTGTTAGCTCCCAGCTCGTTCAGACCAACACTGTTGGATTGCTGACGGAGGGTGTGAGCCCCTGTCCGACCTGGTACTCCGAATGCTAGGCGTAGAGAGCTGTTCCTGTGGGAGCTGTATAATGAGAGAGCTAGCTTTACCACCGTCTGTTAACTCTTATAAAAAACTGCTGTGTAACTTGAAACAGGACCGGGAAATTTGATTTCAATTTCATGATTACTATCCAGTCAAACAGTGAAGTTGTATCTACGACAGATAAAGCAGAAAATAGAAAGAGCATAGGACAGTTACCCTATTTGATAGTTGCTGAACATTCTCTGAGCTTTCTCTGCTGTATCTGGACTATCAAAGTCAACAAAACCGAACCCTCTCGACTCACCATTAGCCGGGTTTATCGCAATCTGGATAAGAAATAGATAAAGAAAATAAGTTAACTCATAATTGAGCGGTTATAAAGAACCGAGTTGTATTATTTATAACAATAGTTCCTACTTCCTGCTAAGCCTGTCCTAAGTTTACAACAGAGACAGCTATTCTAAGTATCTGAACTAGAGACTTAGAGAGTAAGTTAAATGGTACCAATGTTAGGAATGTTGGTTGGAAATACTCACGTTGAGAGATTCCTGCTGATGATCCCAGATGGCCTCTCAAGTGCTCAATTCTCAAATACTCACAAAACCATTCTGACAGAACTCTTACATATGTTACCATTAACAGTTAACACTGTACTATACACTGTACTATACTATACAATATACGTTGTACTATACAATATACGTTGTACTATACTATATACATTGTACTTTTAGTTAGTCTTAAAAGTGCACCCAAACACTTCTCTCCTACAGTTTACCAGATCATTATACGTTATTATACCTTTATCTCTCTCTCTGTTTTCTTCAGAATAAAAATAACCACGCACCTCCTGATGACTTGACGACTCTACATTTTGCAAATACTTTCTAATTGTGCAACTAACCCAATTTGGTAGACAAAGATTGGAAATAGACTCAAACATTGCATTTGTTGGAAAGTGACCTTAACAGAAAAGCTGTAAAGACTTGCCAATGCAACAAAATACTCTTATTAGACATATTTGTTTACCACTGAGTAAAACAAGCGCTAGAATGTCTAGATTCAGGTCACTTCCAACATGATATATATTCAAGTCATAGCGTAAAAGCATTCTTACAATAGTAGGGGAACATCACGTTTAATATTAAAGAAGTTTTAGTTGCACAGTTCAGAAATATCGCTCAAAACATGTCCTTAAGATCTTAGAGGGGCTTAGGCAGAGCAGCTTTGTAGAACTAAATGAAAATTGAACATTATTTTAAATAAACCTCATCCAGTTTAAGAACTTGTGAGAAGAAACAAATTATGGTCACAAACTACTAGTAATAAATAAATGATTCCAGGCCAGAGTGCCAGACAGTAAATTAAACCCGATACCAAAATAATCTAGTCATTCATGCACTGTGTCAGTCAATTTTAAAAGTTTAAACACAGGGTTTAGTTAGTGAAGACTGAAGCTTTAGTTAGTAAAGCTTTACTTACTAAACCCTGTATTTAGAAAGATAACATTAGTATCAAGCTTCACGTCGTAAAATTTTTTCCAATATTGTTAATTCTTTTATCAAAATTCCTTCAAATTTCAATCACCTAAAACTAAAACATGGACAAAATAACCTTAAGCTTACCCTGGTAACCTTGCCTACATAAGAGCAATTCTAACTGCACATCTAAATGTTTTATGAACAAACTGTTTTGAATCCTATCTGCTGAGTGCTGTCTGCACACTAAACCTATCTCAAGGCATGAACTAAAAGATCATAATTTTCATTAATGTCAACTAATCCAATTTTCAACTAAAAGATCATAATTTTCATTAATGTCAACTAATCCAATTTTCAAGTCAGATTTCACTTTCGGGATCTTAAGAAACCAAATTTCCACCCACAAAAAGATCAGCATCGAAACTTGGATACGGGTAAAATTAGTAAAATTAGTAAAATTAGTATGGGATCACACTTCATCACAACAATGCTACTTGCTCGGAGGGAGTACTAATATCCAAGTAACATCGGTGATTTCTTTCAGATTCCTGGTGCAACAAAATTTTGAAAATCAACGGCTATAATACAGATAATTAATTGATGCCTAAAACGGGTGTCGTTTCTAAGATATAATGAGAAAAGAAATCGATTCACAATTAAAGTATTCAGAAGCCTTTGTCACGAAAATAAACAAGATCTAGTTGATCTTGTCAAATATACTGTGGTTATCACGATGAAATTTACATATTTCAAGCAAAGTGGGGGTCGAAAGTTGGATCAAGTGACGCTGGCTTCTGAAAAACTATCAAAATTCAAAGTGTAATATCATTAGCACTGGAGATATTCAAATTTCAATACTACAGGTTCGTTGAACAGTGAACCCTTCTCTCAAATTAAATATGGATAGAGATCGTGTAAATCAGTTCTAACCTCCGGTTTGTTTATTCTAGTAAAAAAACAAACCGAAAAACATCGGATCATAATATAATTTACCATATAGACAGTGAATTTAAAGTTATTTTTCTAATTCTTATTTACACGAAACTAATCGAACAACAATAGGAAATTAGCTGCTCTGCCCCTAAGCCTCTGCCAGCACCTCACATATCGTAGAATATAGTTGCAAATTCAGGTTTTGACTGCTGGGAAAGTTTACCATTTCACGATTTTATATCAAAATACATTATGGCAATACCTCATCATCAACATTGACCAAGATTATATTTGTTTACCTGCGATAACATTACCTAGATACAATGGAGTCAAGTCCCCAATTCAAATATAACCTCGCTTCTCGTGCTTATAGCAATAATGCTTATAAAACTATATCATGTCGCTTTCTTATCATCTTATCGGACGTGACAATGAGATATTATCTTATCACTAGCTACAAAATGATAACGGCTCTGAACAAATGCGCAAGGCTAAAATATTTTCTATCAACTGAGAGTAAGATATATCAAGACGATATCCGACCTCTTATTTCGATATCAATGTTAAATACAGGGCTTAACTTCAAATAATTGATAATTAGTTTGGGAACATATTTTCAAAATAATTTAATTTTCAATAAATTTTTCGTGGCTTTGATACGATACTTCATTCCTGCAATTGTGGTTTTGTTAATCGGCTATCAACACCAGACACTTCTTTCCACGTTATTCCACTTTAAGTGCAAGCTAAGTAATAGTAATAGTTACACATACTACGTATACAATTCAACACCAAATCTTGTGAAACAAGTTACTCACATCACAAAACAGCACTTTGCCACACTGAGCAAACAGTTCGCGTAGAACATTGGAATCAAACAGATCTTTAGGAATTCTGTCGATGAAGAGAGTGCGGGAGTGGAGCTCTTCGTAGTTGTTCAGCACCAGAGGAGCCCAATCCGTCCTGACAATTCTACCTCTCAGGAACCGTCCGGTGAGTGACTCTTTAGCGTTCTTTGCGTCCTCTCTATCTTCAAATTCAACAAAACCGCATCCTTTCATGTAGCCAGTTTTAAGGGACCGGAGGAGGAATGCTCGAGACACTTTTCCGAAGGGGGAGAGCATATCCTGAGAAGAGTAATTACTCATAACTCAAGATATTCAAATTACGATAAGTTTAAGACATAATTATGCCACCAGCAAATTTTTAAGTTCAGAGAAATTACCAGCAGCAAAAAACATAGAAGGTTACAAAAGTTGCTCACCCCAAGCATGCTCTCATCAATAGACAGAGCTAGGTTTCCCAGGAAGAGGAAGTTGTCTGTTGGAGCGTAGCTAATACTGATCTTATTGTCTTTGAACACTGTGCCGTTGACCCCGTCAATTGCCCTTTTGGTGCTTGTGCTATCAACAAATGTCACCCGAGCTGAAGTTGGATGATTATCAGAGGAATCTAGAGAAATTGTTTTGTATTTGTAACACAGTCACAGCTAGAAAATATATTAACATAAAATTAAATGGCTAAATAATTAAGCTGAACTTACCAGTATTTCTGTCTGTAACAGTCACATTGCTTACTGGAAAATCTTTGAACAGCAGCTGATGTATCTCCTAAATTAAAGGTTATAACAAGAATTGCGCCCGTTGTTTCGTTTTGGCGGACGCTAGATTTCCGTTCACTATAACTATAAAAATAAGCTCCAATCAGCTCACTTCATAATAATAATATTGATACACATCAGTACACTATACTACGCATGCCACGTACAAATTGGGCTTTTAACCTAATACTATACATTACACCGTTATATACATTGAAACACAGTCGCGCCGCGCATTCATTGACCACAGGCTATCTATACATCACATCTCCGCAAGTAATCCTCGCGCGCTGCACTGCGCGCTGGTTGTCATGGTAACGGACGGAAGGACAGATGACAACATATTCAGACCCGCCTACCGCTATCTCCAAAATCCACGTTTTTCTGCAAAATGTCCATTCGTAACCTTTCACTATTGCCTTTTTACAAAAGGGTGAACGGAAAAAATCACAAATGAATCAGGACAGGGCCTCTCCCCATTTCACCCTCAATCACGGTTTCCTGATCATTTGGGGGAGATAACCGAGGAGACATTACGCAAAGTAAAGTATGTGGATCGAGTTTTAAAAAGGTAAAGTATTTAAGTTATTTAAAACGTGATTCAATTTTAAGGGGTTCCTTTTCTCAACAGATGAAGATCAAATCACAACAAAAATGCACTATTACCTCAGGTCGTGGATCGTTAGGAAGGTTTGTCAGTTCTATCTTCCTCCTCTTGAAGAACTCTGTCTTACTGTCTTCAATAAGCTTCAACTTCTCACTGTCAGCTGGATCCGTTGGTTTGTCGTTGGAGAAGTCTTCATGTTCATCCATTTTGTCTCCTTCTGAGATTCCTCTCCCTTGATCTCCTCTGGTACCACCACCACCACCACGTCCAAAACCACGTCCCATGGGAGCCATAATCTACAGAATGCAGGGAATAAGCTAAGAATTAAATCACCAATCTATTTAGAGAATACATACAATAGAGTTGTTATATGCTATTTGAATACAATCAAATTGAAAGACTTAATGCTATTCATAGGTGGGAGAGCGCTTAGCACTTCTGGCAGTATCAAAGAAACCTGACTCAGTCCACAGACCAGTCCAATGACTACATATGACAGATGGCATGTTATTCATATGTCCGCAGACAAGTCAGCAGACTTCCTAAGATCATGTATTTTTCTCTAATAAGGATGCAATGTTAGGAACAACGCTCATTGCTCTACAAGGCTACAGAGGCAAGAAAATTGACAAAAATATGAGGCCCCTCTTTCAGAAGTCTCTTACAACCTCATCTTTGCTCTATGATGGAGTAAATTCTATTTGGTTGTTGATATTTCATATAATATTGGTAGCAGTGGAAAATTTCCGTTACCTGTGTATTGTGCTCTGCCAATTGCATCACTTGTTTAATTGAATGTATTATATATATATATATCATTTGAATGATATAAGTTAAAAAATAAGGACGATCAGGACTTATTATCCCAGAATTAAGACATCTAAGGTGTTGTAGTTGTAGTGATGTAATTAGTTTAAAACTAATTACAACACTACAAATTAGTTTAAAACTGATTACAACACTACAAATCTATTACATTTATTGATCAGGACTTATTATCCCACAATTAAGACATCTTAAGTGTTGTAGTTTTAGTGTTGTAATTTTTCTTTTTTGAAAAAGGGGGGACCCCTAAACCATGTAGCTGAGACACCTCACAGGAAGTAAATCAAAGTGGCTCTTGCTTGAGAACAGTGTATCAACTACTCGCCGAAGCGGTGGGTTTGGAATCCCCCCAGGGATCACCTAACCATGTGCTTTCGCGCCACTGCAAGCGCAAGGGCTCTGGATAGAGCAAGGGGATGAGGTCTAGCAGTTCAAGATGCTGGGCTGTTGATCTTCCTCTGATTCCCCTCAGTACAATGAGTGTACTTCTGTACTATTGTAGTGTTGTAATTCGTTTAAAACTAATTACAACACTACAAATCTATTACAGTTATTGAGAATATGAGTATGACGTAGAAATATCGATACGTTATTCAGCTATTTAGCATTTATTTCCATTAGAATCTGTCTTCACTGATTCAATTCAGAATCAATCAGATATTTGAATGAAAGTACAATGAAGAATGAAGAAATTTGCTATTTTTATATAGCATGATGTGGACTGATCTCATAATTTATAAAGTTACACGTTTGAGCACCATTTTTTGTAAATTTAGTCCGCAAATGATTTACAGGGCCGTGCTCAGCCTGTCATTCCGCGTATATGGACACGTTCATTGAAGTTTGAGGATATTGGTAAATATTAGTGACCCTACTGAATGGCACGATGATGTAAAATGTGTCACACTATGAAACTATATAAACCCTCTAACCCTAAGATAATCGTTTCATCCTCTAGATAAACTTTGTCGCATAACGATATCTTTATCAGACGTTAAGATATCGCTTAAATGCGGCCGGCAGTGAGTTGTAAACTTTGTCACACTATAAGAACGTGACGGAGTTTATATGGACCCCTTGTTGCCGTGTTTGACCAAATTTTCGAATTTCCAATTCATAGAATAGCTGTATATGACTATTATCTACATATTTAGCGACTTTTTTCCTTAAATGGTAGCACCATGTAAACTCCGTCACACATTTAAGAAATTTATATGAGGGATGTTTATGACATCCTGACAAGACATGCCGAATAGTCTACCATTATTTTGTGAGCTGAATGTGTTTGGAATTGTTCACATATTTCATTGTTATAGGCAAATACAAATACAGTAAAACAAATTTTTTTTAGTAAAACAAATTTTATTTTATACCCACAATCAATTCATATTTAGTTCAAATATTTAAAGTCAAAATAACCATTTCACATAAGTGGTTATATTATAATAAAATAATTTGTGATAAATTAATAAATTAATTTACACTCAAAAATGAACAAAATATACACAATTTTTACCTAGTGCAACACTGGTTCAGCGCGCGGCTGATCGAAAAAGTTTGATTTGATTTACTAACTACATTGTACAGCGTACATGAAAAAATTACTTACTGAATCTTTTAATACTAGACACATTTTAATTCAGATGTTGTTCAATGAGTTAGCCACAAAAATGTTCAAATTATGTAGGAGGGTAAAGGACACAATTGCTAGTAGTGCTTCTTTGTGCCCGTTGACTACAATGAACATTTTGAGGAGTTTCTCCAGACGGCTTTTATCGGAGTACGTGTTATTTACTTGGTTATGCACAAGCCAGGCCAACATTTTGTTTTTGTGTCAGCCGTGCTACCAGGTTGCAGAGTATCATAAACACTAAACAATTATACACTATACAAATTTGCTAATACAATATCATGCAGAGTCCGATCTAGCTGCAAACGTCAGACACCACAGTTCAGCCGCCAAGTACCGTTTAAGTGAACACCGAAACACGAGGTTTAGGTGTCATTTTGTAAATACAGAAGGCAGAAATAGGTAAATTTAGTCACATAAATTTGTATGATATCTCAACATGTGTGAAATTGAGTAAATATTAGTATACCAACTTAAACACCCTATATTACGTACTATGAATCAATTAACAATATTTCAACCATACGCCGGTCATATAAATTATCATATGGCAGTGATATGTTAACATTGGATAAATTTCAACACCTGAACAGGGTAAAAATTTGTAAATTTCGTCACAAAAAAAATATTACAACTTTATTTGCTCCGTGTTGGCAAAATAACTAATTTATCGACATAGTGATGGTGATAAAGTGACATTATATACTAATTGAGGTATGATTCTTCAAAATAGGGGCAAGAAATGTAAATTTCGTCACATCAGCCATTGCATTAGTTAGATAGATTTTCTTTCATATCAACTGCCCTTATTATAGTTGGAATGGATTTATACAGGAAATATAGAAACCCATGCCCATTTTTCATCACATTGAAATTATACTGTTGGGGCAGGAAAAGTAAATTTCGTCACATTTCGGTAAATTAGTGATATTAAACTCAGCATTGTTCAACTCGAGTTCTGATTTGCTGAAAAATAACCTACCAATAATTCCTGGAAGAATATTGAATTCTAATCGGGGTATGGTTCTTCAAAATAGGGTCAAGAAATGTAAATTGTCATTGTAAAATTTAGATACATTTTCTTTCACATCAACAGTCCTAATTATAGTTTGAAAAAAAAGAACAACTGGGGTAGGTAGGTAGCCCTGGTGGGTGCGTAAACTTTACGGTCTGCTCTCTCCAAGATCAGCCTGCTTCTCCATTTTACCGTGAAGCCTAATTTCTAGTTTTTATAAAATATACAATGCAAGTGCAGGTTTACTAATCTTAATCTACTTAACAACTCAATAGCCCAAGTCACCATAACCGTAGTATATTCCATGGTAATAGAAGATGGCCAGGCCTACTCTCATGCTGTCTATATGTGATGATTAACTCTGAAAAACTAGGGACAACTGGGGAATGATCCCAGAACCTCGAGATTTCGCGTCTCTTGCTCTACCAATTGAGCTACTGACCCTGATTCTCAGAGCGAAATCACCACTCATATACAGCACAATTTCATGCTTTGTGTGGAATATCATTTATCAGTTATTTAGAATATATATTCGCATGTATCCACACTATATTTACATTACACGTTCAACGTGATATCGTTATCAGTGCAGTGTGTACAACACCAACTACACCGATCAATTGCCAATCTGCGAAACATTTAATTATTATTATCACTTCGAGATGGCCAGGCCTACTCTCATGCTGTCTATATGTGATGATTAACTCTGAAAAACTAGGGACAACTGGGGAATGATCCCAGAACCTCGAGATTTCGCGTCTCTTGCTCTACCAATTGAGCTACTGACCCTGATTCTCAGAGCGAAATCACCACTCATATACAGCACAATTTCATGCTTTGTGTGGAATATCATTTATCAGTTATTTAGAATATATATTCGCATGTATCCACACTATATTTACATTACACGTTCAACGTGATATCGTTATCAGTGCAGTGTGTACAACACCAACTACACCGATCAATTGCCAATCTGCGAAACATTTAATTATTATTATCACTTCGAGATGGCCAGGCCTACTCTCATGCTGTCTATATGTGATGATTAACTCTGAAAAACTAGGGACAACTGGGGAATGATCCCAGAACCTCGAGATTTCGCGTCTCTTGCTCTACCAATTGAGCTACTGACCCTGATTCTCAGAGCGAAATCACCACTCATATACAGCACAATTTCATGCTTTGTGTGGAATATCATTTATCAGTTATTTAGAATATATATTCGCATGTATCCACACTATATTTACATTACACGTTCAACGTGATATCGTTATCAGTGCAGTGTGTACAACACCAACTACACCGATCAATTGCCAATCTGCGAAACATTTAATTATTATTATCACTTCGAGATGGCCAGGCCTACTCTCATGCTGTCTATATGTGATGATTAACTCTGAAAAACTAGGGACAACTGGGGAATGATCCCAGAACCTCGAGATTTCGCGTCTCTTGCTCTACCAATTGAGCTACTGACCCTGATTCTCAGAGCGAAATCACCACTCATATACAGCACAATTTCATGCTTTGTGTGGAATATCATTTATCAGTTATTTAGAATATATATTCGCATGTATCCACACTATATTTACATTACACGTTCAACGTGATATCGTTATCAGTGCAGTGTGTACAACACCAACTACACCGATCAATTGCCAATCTGCGAAACATTTAATTATTATTATCACTTCGAGATGGCCAGGCCTACTCTCATGCTGTCTATATGTGATGATTAACTCTGAAAAACTAGGGACAACTGGGGAATGATCCCAGAACCTCGAGATTTCGCGTCTCTTGCTCTACCAATTGAGCTACTGACCCTGATTCTCA